GTGCACCCTTGTACACTTTTGTACATCCTTGTACACATTTGTACAACCTTGTACAAATTTGTACACACTTGAACAAACTTGTACACACTTGTACAACCTTGTACACACTTGTACAACCTTGTACACACTTGTACAACCTTGTACACGCTTGTACAACCTTGTACACACTTGTACAACCTTTTACACAATTGTAAAACCTTGTACACACTTGTACATTCTTGTACAAACTTGTACTTACTTGTACAACCTTGTACAAACTTGTACACACTTGTACAAACTTTTACATCCTTGTACACATTTGTACACCCTTGTACACACTTGTACAACCTTGTACAAACCTGTACACCCTTGTACACACTTGTACAAGCTTGTACACGATTGTACACCCTTGTACACACTTGTGCACCCTTGTATACATTTGTACAACCTTGTACAAACTTGTACACAATTGTACAAACTTGTACACACTTGTACAAACTTGTACACCCTTGTACACACTTGTACAACCTTGTACACACTTGTACAAACTTGTACACCCTTGTACACACTTGTACAACCTTGTACACACTTGTACAACCTTGTACACACTTGTACAACCTTGTACACAATTGTACAACCTTGTACAACCTTGTACACACTTGTACAACCTTGTACACACTTGTACAACCTTGTACACACTTGTACAACCTTGTAAAAACTTGTACAACCTTGTACACACTTGTACACCCTTGTACACACTTGTACAAGCTTGTACACACTTGTACAAGCTTGTACACACTTGTACAACCTTGTACACACTTGTTCACCCTTGTACACACTTGTACAACCTTTTACAAACTTGTACACACTTGTACAAAATTGTACATTCTTGTACATACTTGTACACATTTGTACAACCTAGTACAAACCTGTACACCATTGTACACACTTGTACAAGCTTGTACACACTTGTACACCCTTGTACAAACTTGTGCACCCTTGTACACTTTTGTACACCCTTGTACACATTTGTACAACCTTGTAAAAACTTAAACACACTTGTACAAACATGTACACACTTGAACAACCATGTACACACTTGTACAACCTTGTACACACTTGTACAAGCTTGTACACACTTGTACAACCTTGTACACACTTGTACAACCTTGTACACACTTGTACAACCTTGTACACAATTGTAAAACCTTGTACACACTTGTACAACCTTGTACAAACCTGTACACCCTTGTACACACTTGTACAAGCTTGTACACGATTGTACACTCTTGTACACACTTGTGCAACCTTGTACACACTTGTGCAACCTTGTACACACTTGTACAACCTTCTTAACACTTGTACAACCTTGTACACACTTGTACAACCTTCTTAACACTTGTACAACCTTGTACACACTTGTTCAAGCTTGTACACACTTGTACAACCTTGTACAAACCTGTACACCCTTGTACACACTTGTACACCCTTGTACAAACTTGTGCAACCTTGTACACTTTTGTACACCCTTGTACACATTTGTACAACCTTGTACAAACTTGTACACACTTGTACAAACTTGTACACACTTGTACAACCTTGTACACACTTGTACATCCTTGTACACACTTGTACAACCTTGTACACAATTGTAAAACATTGTACACACTTAAACAACCTTGTACAAACTTGTACACACTTGTATAAACTTTTACATCCTTGTACACATTTGTACACCCTTGTACACACTTGTACAACCTTGTACAAACCTGTAAACCCTTGTACACACTTGTACAAGCTTGTACACGATTGTACAAGCTTGTACACGATTGTACACCCTTGTACACACTTGTGAACCCTTGTACACACTTGTACAACCTTGTACACACTTGTACAACCTTGTACACACTTGTACAACCTTGTACACACTTGTACAACCTTGTACACACTTGTACAACCTTGTACACACTTGTACAACCTTGTACAACCTACTACAAACTTGTACACACTTGTACAAACTTTTACATCCTTGTACACATTTGTACACCCTTGTACACACTTGTACAAACTTGTACATTCTTGTACATACTTGTACACCCTTGTACACACTTGTACAAACTTGTACATTCTTGTACATACTTGTACACCCGTGTACACACTTGTACAACCTTGTACAAACCTGTAAACCCTTGTACAAGCTTGTACACACTTGTACAAACTTGTACACACTTGTACACCCTTGTACAAACTTGTGCACCCTTGTACACTTTTGTACACCCTTGTACACATTTGTACAACCTTGTACAAACTTGTACACACTTGAACAAACTTGTACACACTTGTACAACCTTGTACACACTTGTACAACCTTGTACACACTTGTACAACCTTGTACACACTTGTACAAGGTTGTACACACTTGTACAAGCTTGTACACACTTGTACAACCTTGTACACACTTGTACAACCTTGTACACACTTGTACAACCTTTTACACAATTGTAAAACCTTGTACACACTTGTACATTCTTGTACAAACTTGTACTTACTTGTACAACCTTGTACAAACTTGTACACACTTGTACAAACTTTTACATCCTTGTACACATTTGTACACCCTTGTACACACTTGTACAACCTTGTACAAACCTGTACACCCTTGTACACACTTGTACAAGCTTGTACACGATTGTACACCCTTGTACACACTTGTGCACCCTTGTACACACTTGTACACCCTTGTACACACTTGTACAACCTTTTACAAACTTGCACACACTTGTACAAACTTGAACATTCTTGTACATACTTGTACACCCTTGTAAACACTTGTACAACCTTGTACAAACTTGTACACACTTGTACACACTTGTACAAGCTTGTACACACTTGTACAAGCTTGTACACACTTGTACACCCTTGTACAAACTTGTGCACCCTTGTACACACTTGTACAACCTTGTACACAATTGTACAACCTTGTACAACCATGTACACACTTGTACAACTTTGTACACACTTGTACAACCTTGTACACACTTGTACACCTTTGTACACACTTGTACAACCTTGTACACTATGATACAACCTTGTACACACTTGTACAACCTTGTACACACTTGTACAACCTTTTACAACCTTGTACAAACCTGTACACCCTTGTACACACTTGTACAAGCTTGTACACACTTGTACAAGCTTGTACACACTTGTACACCCTTGTACAAACTTGTGCACCCTTGTACACTTTTGTACACCCTTGTATACATTGGTACAACCTTGTACAAACTTGTACACACTTGTACAAACTTGTACACACTTGTACAAACTTGTACACCCTTGTACACACTTGTACAACCTTGTACACACTTGTACAACCTTGTACACAATTGTACAACCTTGTACAACCATGTACACACTTGTACAACCTTGTACACACTTGTACAACCTTGTACACACTTGTACAACCTTGTACACACTTGTACACCTTTGTACACACTTATACAACCTTGTACACACTTGTACAACCTTGTACACACTTGTACAACCTTGTACACGTTTGTACAACCTTGTACACACTTGTACAACCTTGTACACACTTGTACAACCTTGTAAAAACTTGTACAAGCATGTACACGATTGTACACCCTTGTACACACTAGTGCACCCTTGTACACACTTGTACAACCTTGTACACACTTGTACAACCTTGTACACACTTGTACAACCTTGTACACACTTGTACAACCTTGTACACACTTGTACAAACTTGTACACACTTGTACAACCTTGTACACACTTGTACAACCTTGTACACACTTGTACAACCTTGTACACACTTGTACAACCTTGTACACACTTGTACAACCTTTTACACAATTGTAAAACCTTGTACACACTTGTACATTCTTGTACAAACTTGTACTTACTTGTACAACCTTGTACAAACTTGTACACACTTGTACAAACTTTTACATCCTTGTACACATTTGTACACCCTTGTACACACTTGTACAACCTTGTACAAACCTGTACACCCTTGTACACACTTGTACAAGCTTGTACAAGATTGTACACCCTTGTACACACTTGTGCACCCTTGTATACACTTGTACAACCTTTTACAAACTTGTACACACTTGTACAAACTTGTACATTCTTGTGCATACTTGTACACCCTTGTAAACACTTGTACAACCTTGTACAAACCTGTACACCCTTGTACACACTTGTACAAGCTTGTACACACTTGTACAAGCTTGTACACACTTGTACACCCTTGTACAAACTTGTGCACCCTTGTACACTTTTGTACACCCTTGTATACATTTGTACAACCTTGTACAAACTTGTACACAATTGTACAAACTTGTACACACTTGTACAAACTTGTACACCCTTGTACAGCTAGCGTCAGCTAAGCTGGCGCGTGACCGATAGATAGAAATTCTGTACTAGCCTAGGTTAAAAATATTGTTTGCCGTCATACGGGTTGCGTCTACTGCCCTCACTGCTCTCTTGAAGGCGCTTCAGTAGACGGCATACAAAATGCTAGATGTGTTGTATGGTTGTATGCACTGCATCCATTAACAATTAATAAACTAAACTTTCTAAACACTTTTTATGAACAGTTGTTAATGTAACTAGGGAGCATGGGTGCTTAGGTTGCGCTTTTAAATCATACATTAAAAAACTATTCAAATAAATGTTCTTACAAGAAATAACTTAATAGAACTAAACTGCCACAAACCCCATGGGTCCATCAGGAGTTGGTCCATCATAACTCCTCAATCCCAGACATATCGCTGAATTCATCGGAGTCGCTCGTTCCCTCGTCGTCGCTGGTGCTGTCGTCTACATTAATGATAAAACTTTCCGTTATTTCATCGATGGCTGGCTCTTTGGCGGCGTATTCATTTTCCACATTTTTAACGTGCCTACACTTACATTCCCAATCCTGTTGCGATATCGAAGAAAACTTTTCTTCACAAAGCTTTTTCACATCGCACAATCAAATTGTGTCAGGTCGTGTTGTGTGATGCAACATAGTTTTTTACATCTGCCCATATCATCTCGATTGGGTTCAAATCAGGATGATACGGGGGCAGACGCAGTACACTGTGGCCTTCCCTTTCCAAGATGTCATCCAGGACATATTTGACATATCGATGTTTGTGTTGAAGAATGAGTTTGTAAAGTTGAGGTTTTAGCATTGTTGGATCGTAGGAAATGTTGTGCTCGGAAAGCCACTTGGTCATTTCTTCTTTTTTACTATTGGAAGTCGGGGCCTTATCAATTTGCTTGTTGTGGTACTTCGCATTGTCAATAACCAATACAGAGTTAGGATTTAAGTTTGGTATCAGTTGATTTATGACCCATTGCATGTAATTTTTGTTGTTCATGTTGTCGTGGTAGTCGCCGGATTTTTGGCCTGCCTTCCACATGGCCAAAGAAAGCGTTTGGGACGAACCCCTGTTCCCCTCCAGCGTGAACTATTATCAGTCTTTCTCCTTTGGACACGGGCGTATGCAAAACATTATTTGATCCATCCGACCACATTTTCCCAGATACGTGATCTGAACATACGTAACTTTCATCCATGTACACGATGGGTCTCCCTTCCGACCTGAATCGCTTGAGTGACTGGAGATAAGTTATTCTCTTTTCCCTAATCTCAGATTTTTCAATTAGAATCCTCCGATTATTCTGTGTCCTTTTCCAGGAAAATCCTAATTTTTTCAAAATCCTCCGAACACTTGATTGACTTCCCTGAAAGTTCAACTTTTCTTTAAGAGAATTCTGCAACAGTTTTGACGTCGGCAGTCTTTTTTCTGTTATGTAAAATTCATAGACAGTCCTACGAACCACACATTCATCGAAATGGTCTAGGCCAGTAATCGGCTTTTTCTTCCTTTTTGTTTTGTGAGGTGTTAAAAAAGATTTATTATCATCCTCACTCACCTTTAAAGCGTTTAGTTCGCTGTTTATCCGGGTAACAGAGCGTTGAGATACACCGGTTCCTGCTGCGGTCCGCTCCCTCGCCTTCCGTAGTGGTATTGTAATGCCGCTCTTGCACTCCTCTTTCATAAATGTATAAACATTTGCCACGATTTCCCTACTCTGACTATTTAAAACCTTACCACCAATCCCTACTTTCGATTTAAATTCTGCCATGACAAAAAAACTCACACACGTTTCGTTATGAAAACAGTCCACTTCACGATCCACTGTGACACTGCACAAGCAAAACTCACTACTGAGTAGACACAGTGCTTAGGAACGTGCAAGATTTGTCATAACAGCGCCCTCTCTATTAGTCATAGTTTGTTTAGGACGTCAACCCCGTGAGTCAGCCGAGATGTTCGCAGAGTTGCCCGGTCGGAACGCGGGACCTCACGTCTGACAGTCCGATGTTCTCAGAACGGTCTTAAGCTAGTTTCCACCCTCCCCCCGCCAATGGTGCCGCGCCAGGCCCACAGGCCACCATGAGCCAGCTTAGCTGACGCTAGCTGTACACACTTGTACAACCTTGTACACACTTGTACAACCTTGTACACACTTGTACAACCTTGTACAAACCTGTACACCCTTGTACACACTTGTACAAGCTTGTACACGATTGTACACCCTTGTACACACTTGTGCACCCTTGTACACACTTGTACACCCTTGTACACACTTGTACAACCTTTTACAAACTTGTACACACTTGTACAAACTTGTACATTCTTGTACATACTTGTACACCCTTGTAAACACTTGTACAACCTTGTACAAACCTGTACACCCTTGTACACACTTGTACAAGCTTGTACACAATTGTACAACCTTGTACAACCTTGTACACACTTGTACAACCTTGTACACACTTGTACAACCTTGTACACACTTGTACAACCTTGTACACACTTGTACAACCTTGTACACACTTGTACAACCTTGTACACACTTGTACACTTTTGTACACACTTGTTCAACCTTGTACACACTTGTACAACCTTGTACACACTTGTACAACCTTGTACACACTTGTACAACCTTGTACACACTTGTACACACTTGTACAAACTTGTACATTCTTGTACATACTTGTACTCCCTTGTAAACACTTGTACAACCTTGTACAAACCTGTACACCCTTGTACACACTTGTACAAGCTTGTACACACTTCTACAAGCTTGTACACACTTGTACAACCTTGTACAAACTTGTGCACCCTTGTACACTTTTGTACACCCTTGTATACATTTGTACAACCTTGTACAAACTTGTACACACTTGTACAAACTTGTACACACTTGTACAAACTTGTACACCCTTGTACACACTTGTACAACCTTGTACACACTTGTACAACCTTGTACACACTTGTGTCTAAGATGTCTTTTTATTTAGAGGGATGTCTTGTTTTTTAGAGGGTTGTCTTGTTTTTTAGAGGGTTTTCTTGTAATTTAGATGGGATGTCTTGCTTTTAGAGGGATGTCTTAATATTTAGCGGAATGTCTTGTTTATTAGAGGGATGTCTTGCTATTTAGAGGGATGTCTTTTTATTTGGAGGGATGTCTTGCTATTTAGAGGGATGTCTTAATATTTAGAGGGATGTCTTGTTATTTAGAGGAATGTCTTGTTATTTAAAAGGGATGTCTTGTTATTTAGAGGGATGTCTTGTTATTTAGTGGGATGTCTTGTTATTTAGAGGGATGACTTGTTATTTAGAGAGATGTCTTGTTATTTAAAGGGATGTCTTAATATTTAGAGGGATGTCTTGTTATTTAGAGGGATGTCTTAATATTTAGAGGGATGTCTTGTTATTTGAAGGGATGTCTTAATATTTAGAGGGATGTCTTGTTATTTAGAGGGATGTCTTGTTATTTAGAGAGATGTCTTGTTTTTTAAAGGGTTGTCTTGTTATTTGGAGGGATGTCTTAATATTTAGAGTGATGTCTTGTTATTTAGAGGGATGTCTTGTTATTTAGAGGGATGTCTTGTTTTTTAGAGGGTTGTCTTGTTATTTGGAGGGATGTCTTGTTTTTTAGAGGGTTGTCTTGTAATTTAGATGGGATGTCTTGTTATTTAGAGGGATGTCTTGTTATTTACAGGTATGTCTTGTTATTTAGAGGGATGTCTTAATATTTAGAGGAATGTCTTGTTATATAGATGGATGTCTTGTTATTTAGAGGGATGTCTTGATATTTAGAGGGATGTCTTGTTTTTTAGAGAGATGTCTTGTTATTTAAAGGGTTTTTTTGTTTTTTAGAGGGTTGTCTTGTTATTTGGAGGGATGTCTTGTTATTTAGATTGATGTCTTAATATTTAGAGGGATGTCTTGTTTTTTAGAGGGATGTCTTGTTATTTAGAGGGATGTCTTGTTATTTAGAGGGATGTCTTGTTATTTAGAGGGATGTCTTGTTATTTAGAGGGATGTCTTGTTATTTAGAGGGATGTCTTGTTATTTGAAGGGATGTCTTAATATTTAGAGAGATGTCTTGTTATTTAGAGGGATGTCTTGTTATTTAGAGGGATGTCTTGTTATTTAGAGGGATGTCTTCATATATGGAGGGATGTCTTGTTATTTAGAGGGATGTCTTGTTATTTGGAGGGATGCTTGTTATTAAGAGGGATGTCTTATAATTTAGAGGGATGTTTCGTTATTTGGAGGTATGTCTTGTTATTTAGAGGGATGTCTTGTTATTTAGAGGGATGTCTTGGTATTTGGAGGGATGTCTAGTTATTTAGAGGGATGTCTTTTTATTTAGAGGGATGTCTTGTTATTTAGAGGGATGTCTTGTTATTTAGAGGGATGTCTTGTTATTTGAAGGGATGTCTTAATATTTAGAGGGATGTCTTGCTTTTTTGAGGGATTTCTTGTTATTTGGAGGGATGTCTTGTTATTTAGAGGGATGTCTTGTTATTTAGAGGAATGTCTTGTTATTTAAAAGGGATGTCTTGTTATTTAGAGGGATGTCTTGTTTTTTAGTGAGATGTCTTGTTATTTAGAGGGATGTCTTGTTATTTAGAGAGATGTCTTGTTATTTAAAGGGATGTCTTAATATTTAGAGGGATGTCTTGTTATTTAGAGGGATGTCTTAATATTTAGAGGGATGTCTTGTTATTTGGAGGGATGTCTTAATATTTAGAGGGATGTCTTGTTATTTAGAGGGATGTCTTGTTATTTAGAGAGATGTCTTGTTATTTAAAGGGATGTCTTAATATTTAGAGGGATGTCTTGTTATTTAGAGGGATGTCTTAATATTTAGAGGGATGTCTTGTTATTTGAAGGGATGTCTTAATATTTAGAGGGATGTCTTGTTATTTAGAGGAATGTCTTGTTATTTAGAGGGATGTCTTGTTTTTTAAAGGGTTGTCTTGTTATTTGGAGGGATGTCTTAATATTTAGAGGGATGTCTTGGTATTTAGAGGGATGTCTTGTTATTTAGAGGGATGTCTTGTTATTTAGAGGGATGTCTTCTTATTTGGAGGGAAGTCTTGTTATTTGGAGGAATGTCTTGTTATTTAGAGGGATATCTTGTTATTTGGAGGGATGTCTTGTTATTTAGAGGGATGTCTTGCTATTTAGAGGGATGTCTTTTTATTTGGAGAGATGTCTTGTTATTTAAAGGGATGTCTTAATATTTAGAGGGATGTCTTGTTATTTAGAGGGATGTCTTAATATTTAGAGGGATGTCTTGTTATTTGAAGGGATGTCTTAATATTTAGAGGGATGTTTCGTTATTTGGAGGTATGTCTTGTTATTTAGAGGGATGTCTTGTTATTTAGAGGGATGTCTTGGTATTTGGAGGGATGTCTAGTTATTTAGAGGGATGTCTTTTTATTTAGAGGGATGTCTTGTTATTTAGAGGGATGTCTTGTTATTTAGAGGGATGTCTTGTTATTTGAAGGGATGTCTTAATATTTAGAGGGATGTCTTGCTTTTTTGAGGGATTTCTTGTTATTTGGAGGGATGTCTTGTTATTTAGAGGGATGTCTTGTTATTTAGAGGAATGTCTTGTTATTTAAAAGGGATGTCTTGTTATTTAGAGGGATGTCTTGTTTTTTAGTGAGATGTCTTGTTATTTAGAGGGATGTCTTGTTATTTAGAGAGATGTCTTGTTATTTAAAGGGATGTCTTAATATTTAGAGGGATGTCTTGTTATTTAGAGGGATGTCTTAATATTTAGAGGGATGTCTTGTTATTTGGAGGGATGTCTTAATATTTAGAGGGATGTCTTGTTATTTAGAGGGATGTCTTGTTATTTAGAGAGATGTCTTGTTATTTAGAGGGATGTCTTAATATTTAGAGGGATGTCTTGTTATTTAGAGGGATGTCTTAATATTTAGAGGGATGTCTTGTTATTTGAAGGGATGTCTTAATATTTAGAGGGATGTCTTGTTATTTAGAGGAATGTCTTGTTATTTAGAGGGATGTCTTGTTTTTTAAAGGGT